CTAGGCCGGGCCGGACGGGAACCTCGCGCCCCTCGCGGGAACCGCCGCCTACCCGAGCGTCGGGGAGGAGCCGCCGCCGCCTCTGCCGACTGCGGAAGAGTCCGGGCCTCCGAGGGATGGGGAGCAGCCCGCGGCGCTGAGAGACGCGGGCCCCTGTCACCTCGGGCTGCGGGACCCCCTCTCCCGGCACCCGCAGCTCGTCCCGGAGCCTGGTGGGCGCGGCGAGGGAGACGAGAGGAGCCCCCGGGCCTGGGGACATGGAACCGCGCGAGCCTGGCGCGGGACGGCCCGAGACGCGGCCGAGGCAGCGGCCGCGAGAGGCCGGCAGCCCCAGATAGAGAGCGGGGACGAGAGGGCCCGGCTGTGCCTGGCGGGGGATCGGCGGCCCCGACACTCCCGAGGAGGAGCCCATCCCGCCCCGGCCCCGGGAGGATCTCCGGGTCCCCTTCCCACGGCTGCCTTCTCCGAGGAAGTTTCTCCCTGCGCCTTTGGGAGGATTCGTCGCGAGCCCTGGGACTCGCTCTCTGGCTGCTTCTCTCCGTTTGTTTTGGGAGATAACTCGTTTTGCTCCGGCCCGCGTCCCCTGACCCCTTCCCATCGGATGTTCTAGATGACTGAATGGAGTTTTGAGTTGGACTTCGGTGTCCCGGACGGAGTTGGGCCTGATCCCAGAGCACTGGGGGTGGGGTGGAGGTGTTACTGTAAAATGCAAGTTGGATAAGGGAGGACCTCTCGCCAAGGGCCCCAATGAGTGGCACACAGTCTACTATCACCGACAGGTGGGTATGGACTCCTGCTCCGCTCGGCTGCCCCGGTCACGCCCGACCCTGCAGGAGAGCCGGGGACCGCGAATTGCCTTTGGCCAGAGAGGTTGACAGGCGTGGGGAAGAGGGTGGTTTCGGAGCTGTGCAATTAGTGTAGGGTTGCTGCCAAGCCGTCCGGCCGATTGAATCTGGAAATGTAGTTTTTCTGGAGAGAAACCCCCCCCCCCCGCCGATTCCCAAAGAAGGTCTGGTCAGGACCGTAGCTTTCCGTCTGTAGTGTGCATTAGGATTCTGTGCTCATCTTGGACCCAGAGGCAGGTCATTTTGGGTGAAGGTCAGTGCCTGGCGTCGGCTCGGTATTGGGGTATCTATCGGTTTTAGTCCTGTCCCGGGGTAGTTGTCCAGACGGTTCCTTTTGGGGATTTCTGATCGTGAACTTAATTTTGAGCCTGCTGAGTTGGTGATTTGCGAACCTGAGTTCTTTTAGGTGTTGAGCTGTAGAGTGTTTAATTATTATCTAACAATTTTCCAGAATGTTGACATTACCAGTAAATCACAGGCTTTCGCTGGAGGCAATGTCCAGGAGCTGAAGAAATTGAGGGAAAATCACGGGGTTTGCTTTTACTTACTGTATTTTAATGTTCCATCCTCCAGAAAGATTGGCGTTTATGGGATATAAACCCTCAGCATAGTGTAAGCCTGGCAGGTGGATTCGTTGAGTTTGTCCTTCACAGTGCTTGTCGGTGTTGCGTGGTGGCCGTGAATTGCACTAGACCTTACCTGGTTGGAGTGGAGTTACCTTATTTCGAGGAGTTATACTTTGGAATAGGTTAAGGGATGAAAGCATATTGCTTCCTTTACCACATTTCATTTCTCAATTATGACACCGTATGCTAGTCCCAAATTTCAGTCAGCTTGCTTTATTTTTCAGTCAACTGTCCAACTATTACATCATTAAAAAAACAGATCAAATAACTGAATTAGAGGACCAGAACTCTTTGATGAATAGTGCTCCTGCAGAAAGTAGTTTAATTTCCTATTAAAAGAGTTTCTCCCCCAATGGTCAGACTCATTTGTTGATTTTAAAAGGGCCAAATTCCATTATCATACCATAACAGCTACTCCAGAAACAGAACTTCCTCTTCCTGTTGATGCTTTCCAGTGTCACATGAATGTTCACTTAAAAGATTCCACTAAATATTTAAGCTACTTAATTCTTTGCATATTTTTCAGAATGGGTTTTCATTTTCAATTAAACAATTTTTAGTTTTTCCAAGAGGACACTTAACATGAGTATCAACAATGCTCATCTCTCTTCTGGTATCTTCATTTCTTTTCTTTTCAGGGTGTTTTGCTTCTGAGAAATCCCTTTCATGGGTGTGTGGATAATTGTTTTCCTGGTTCATTCAATCCTTGCCCTCTCTGTTGAGATTGTAGAGAAGAAGTATTACTAGGAACTAATGTAATGTTGGTTTTCATTGCAATGCTGGTGTGTTTAATTTGTAGAATTAGAACTTAAGATCATTAACTCAATCCACACAAAAATCACTCAAACCCCCCAAGTGATGCTTTTTCTTCAGTCTTGCTTCTCAGGGATTTTCTTCCTCTTTCTACTATCTTGGAAATAAAATCTTGTGATTTGTATCCTTTTATAACTTAGATGGCATACAATATTCAATAAGCATGTGTTACTGAAAGCCTGATCTTTACTAGACAGTGTGCTTAGACAATGTGCTAGGCACAAAAGATTAAAAGATGAATATTCTAAGCTTAATCTGCAAATTGGTTTGGGTATTAATCTTGAACTGGATTAGTTGCTGCCTAATTTTACGAATTTTTTTAAGGGGAAAAAACCCTTGGAAAACCATTTAATAAGCACTGCTTAGACTTATTTCTTAGGAATTTATTACTGGGCTCTTTTTAAAAATGAGAATACTCTTGTTTGACTACCTTTTCTTTCATTATAGTTCATTCTGTAAATATAAAGCATCCATTTTCTCTTTATAAGAGTAGTTCCTGATTTGAATACATGTTGGGGTGATATCTAGAAGTACTAGTTTAGTATTCTTTTTATGCCGGGTTCCTTAACCAACTTACAAGTGAAGAGTAGTTTCTAGCTTTCTCTCAGCCCTACCTACCTCATCCGCTTTTCTCACTGTCTAATTCCAATGTACTGTAGGTGTATTTTGCTGATTCTGGAACCACTGGCAAATTAACAGTGCCACTGTAGCTTTTTAGATAGAGATCCTTTCAAGTTTGAAGTACTATATGTGGTATGGCTTTGTTTTGTAGAGTGTGCAGAACTACCAGGCCAGCTGTGTGAGTTAGGGTTCTTTCATTGTGGTGCTTCTGACTACAGAGTCTGTCTGTCCTCAGTTGAAATCAGACTAGCTGGTTTTGGGCGTTGTTCTGTTTTGCAGTTTGTGGCAGGCGACACATGGCTGAACAAGATAAGAAGGGTTTTATTCTTGTGTTAGGGACGTGCTGGGGCTGGGATGGAATTCAGCTATGTTTAGGCTCTGATTGGTCACTTTGGATACTCAGAACTCTGTTATATCCTGCTATTATTTTGCAGTTAAATCAACACATTCACTTACTCCCTTCTCTTTTCATTTTCTGCTCTTCAGCCCCTACCCCTTTTCTTAAAACTTTAAAACTCAAACTTTTTTTTAAAACTCAAACACTGTTCATGTATTGTTTTTATGTAGTTTATCTGAACATCTTAAAAAAAATCTAAGCAGCTTATGAATACCTTCCAGTCTGCTTTGTAACTTCTGTGAGACCTGGAGACTACACTTAAAAAGTGGTAGAAATGTCTGATTGCAACTTTTGGCCTATATTGATTGCTGCATTCAATCCTAAAATATATCTAATTGTTTGCAATGCCCCAGGTGTCTTTTTTTCTATCCCTCAAAGTTTAGGGGTCCTATGGCAATTGAAATTACTTTTGAGAGGTTGAAAGGAGAGAATGTGCTTTTCATTGAACTCAGTAAATGATTTCAGACTAGATTCTGTAACAGTGAGTTTTCAGGGAAAATACAGACAGGAAAATTATAAGAGTTTTTCTTGAAATAAATGGACTTTTGTCTAGGGCTTATGGATCTTGTAGTTTTTGATTTATGAATAAAGGCTTTGATATAATGACTTCCTTTTTTTAGCTTTAAGTTTTTTAACATAAGCAAATTTTTAAAGTTAGCATGGGAACTTATGACTTTATATACCCAGTATTTGGCATTTTCATTCATGACCTTTTTTCTACTGAAATTGCCATCATGCTTATGATTTTTTTTTAAAAAAACCTCATGTTTGTGTGCTACTTTCAAGGTTGCATGAGGCATCTATCCGCAAGGTTAAATTATTTGTAACACTTATAAAGTTAGTCAGTTGATAAATACAAAGTTGAAATGGGGGCTAAGGCTCACAGTGGTAGCTTTGTATTCAGTGTTATCTTTGTCTTTTCTTTCAGTTGTTCAGTATAAAATTTTGATTCACATAGTTATGCAATAATACATTCACTTGTACAGTTTTACAGGAGTCAACATGTAGAGTCTAAAGTACATTTTTTTGAAAGCGTAAAGCTATAGTCTTCCTGATTAATGGTACATTTATAAGATGTTCATATTTATTCAGTGAAGTGACAAGCTTTCCTTGAAATCATTACAAAAATATGTTAACCTGGTGGTACTGCTTAACACATTGGTGGTTTCCAATTGTTAACATGTATATAACATTGAGATAACATACAAGGTTTTTGGGGGTTTTTTTTGAGTTTTCAACTTTAAAAATGAAATTTGAGGCATGTATTCATAGAACTCATACATGGTACATTTTACATATTTTTCTATAGAGTATTACAGTTTCAAGGAAAACAATTGGAAACTATCTGAGTGTACATATGTGGTTGCCTCTTCTAAAAGTCTTCCAAAAATTAGCATGAATTGCTTCCCAAACTGATATGGGTCACAGAAACAGCAGGATATCATAATGGTTTTCCAGAGGTGATTGGAGGGACTGTTTTGCATCATGGTTATCTGACAGTGTTATTATAAATGTTTTTTAATATAATTGCTTATTTCATAGAAATTGACCACACCATGTTTTCAGGAACAGCAAGCCTTTACGTGGTCTCATCTGTTAGAACTTGGTTTTGGTGTTGTTTCAAAGCTTCATTTGAAAGCATATTGCTTTTGTTTTTGTTTTTGAGTTGGAGTCTCACTCTGTCACCCAGACTGGAGTGCAGTGGCACGTTCCCAGCCACCACAGCCTCGACCTGCTGGGCTCCAGTGATCCTTCCACCTCAGCCTTCCAAGTAGCCAGAACTACAGGTGTGCGCTACCACGCCTGCTAGTTTTTGATTTAGAGACAAGGTCTCGCCAAGTTGCCTGGGCAGGTCTTGAACCCGCGGGCTCAGGCAATCCACTCGCCTCGACCTCCCAAAGTGCTGGGATTACAGGCTGAGCCACCGAGCCTGACCAAAAGCATATTGCTTTTAAAATTTAAAATCATTGAAGATGATTGAAAATTTAAAATCAACATAATTATAAATATTTTGCTTCCTTTGAGTAAAATACCCTCATGTATGTAATGATATTCCTTGGTAGTATAATCCCTTAACATTTATCATATTTTCAATTGAGTGTAGGGCAGATCACATTTCATCATTTACACTTTAAGGTCACTCATAGAGTTTAAATCAAGATTATAAAACTGGAAAGGACAGACTCAAGATTTTAACCTAGATTTTTCTGCCTTTCAAGTCCCCCCCCCCATTTTTCACTTTGAATTACAGTCTTTGTATTTTTTCTGTCCTTTAGTAACTTTACAACTTGACCAAGTCAGAGTTGGATTCTTCTCTTTCTAGTACCTTATCCATTCTAATTTTAAATATCTCTAGAGGATAAAGCTTTTGTCACTTCCTCAGGAGACTGAACAACAATTTGATAGATCTTGCAGTCAGGAAGTTTTTCCTGATCTTTAGTTCAAACTTTCCTTTTAAGTTGTCCTGTTACTTGTGT